ATTTATCCGTTTGGCTGTAATTCGCGTTCAAAGTTTAAAAAATGCTAGTGTTTTCACATTTCATTGATTTACTCGAAAACTATAATAGATAGAATGAATCCTATATGTGCATATGAAAGCTGAATGTTTGGGGAATCCAGAAAGTATAGATACATTCCTGTGCTCTTATCCATATTGCTGTAATACGCGTTCCTTTTATGAAATGGAGGGGTGTGGGGAAGCGCCAAATGATTACATACTTTTAAGGGAGGCGTAGTAACATCAAGTTTGGAAACCACTGATATAATGTGTTAAGTTTTTCGTCTAACAATTAATGAAGTAGAAAAGTTCTTAAAAAGCATTACAAAACACCCCCAAAGGAATAATCTATCTTTCGTTTAATTCATTGTGATCGATTTGAGGTGAAATAGAATAATGTATAATTTATAAGAAACGTAACATTTATTAAAATAACACATAAATATAATAAAATAATTAACTGATTGTATAAGCTAAAGGAAACGAATAAACATTCTTAAAAAACGTAAACTGAGAACAAATACTGTGTTTGAATAAAACAAAAATTAAGGCTTACATTCTAATGCGACTTCTTTGAAAATTGCAGTCTCCTTATTTCTATGCAAATCGTCTACCAAATGCAGGATCAGCTCGGGTTTGCTGTAAACTGTAACTTTGCATATATCGCATGTTATCTCCGATACTGGTTGATCACTGTAACAGTAAACAAAGAATGCATTATTCAGTTGAAAAGATCTGCGTTAAATGGGGAATCATACTTTTGAGCAGCATATCGCAGATCCTCAACGTGGCGTCTCATTTTAGATAAATCCTGTTTAGAAGTAATTAAAGTCATGATGGTGTGCAACTGCCATATGTCGTTCTTCATCAGAACATTGCCTGGTGATAGCAAATCTCCTTTGAACAGGAACTTTGTCCATGACTTTGTATGCTTAATGTATTTTCTCTCTTGACCTTTACGCACTCTACCCAATAATCTAAAAAAAAGTATTTGTAAGGGATAGAAAATTAATGCAAATATTAACGAATTACAAGTTAATCCTCTCTTTGACCTCGCGTTGGCAGTCCTCGAGTAAAATATCAACAGGATTTTTGTGAAAAATGGATTCCATGGCTTTCATTGAAGTGTTCATCCAGAAGCGCAACTCGTTAATCTGTAAAATAATCCACGATTGTAACAAGAATTCTCGTTATGGTCAGATTTGATCTCACCAGTGTCAAATCGAATTCATCAATAACCGTATCCAAAGTGATGGACAAATCGTGTGTCGCAAATAAAGATTTGCCTTCGCTTTCTCCCAAACCGCAGAGTATAGAAGCAAAAGAAGTACCATCTTTCGTTGGTTTCATGACCATCCTCGGACAGAAGAGCAAAGCGAGAATCGCCGGCAAACCAGGAATGTTCGGCATTAAAGTAGTGTGTCTCAAAGTTAAATTCGAATTTGACGAATTCTGAGATACACATCCCGCAACTAATAACCTAATTCGCAACAAAATATCACTAAACTTGTGCAAAAAACATCACAAAATGTACAATTACTTACCTTTCTTTAGGATCTTGAGGAGAACTATCTAACAGAACTGCATTCACAGATTGTCCGTCAACGTTCACAGTCTTAACTTCATCTGCGACGCAATGAATCTTCATTTCCAATGGGGAATATGGACCTTTCAAGTGTATAGTTCGACTGCATTGGCTGGCAGTAGGTGGTTCTACTTTGAACGGAACTGAGAAGAACCTGTGCTCATTCAAATCGTTCGTCGTTGACTCCTCGAATCTGATCCTGTTCCCTTGCAATTGAGCGTATGCTCTGTCTTCTTTGTTTAACTTGAATCAGAAGATAATAAATGTGAATACCAAGAAAATACCTTTAACACTCGTTTTACTCGAGACAGAAAACTTTCTTCAGCGTGAAGACCGTATCCCTTTTGAATCAGTAAATCGTTAATGCATTGTCCATCCTTGTATAGTTTAACGGAAACGACTTCGTCCACAACCGAGTAAATCTAAAGAAAATAAGATTAAATGTTGACTTGGTTATTTTGTATTGAAGTACTTTTGCTTGTAATATATCGTCTGCAATCATTTCCTTGAAAGTGTTCAGAGCCAGAGAAGACCATAATCCTCTAGGGCAAAGTACAAGAGATGGTTGGATTTCGGAGAGGACGCATTCCAAAGCCTGTGCTGGAAGATCGTTTGTATACTTGTCAGGTAATTGTCGTAACTCTTTAATATTTATGTTGCTCGTATTGCCAAAATCGATGAACAATATCTGAAAAATATGAAAGTCAGACTTTTAATAATTAACAATATGTAGACGCACCTTAGCAAAATAATCATTCTTTTGGTACGGCTTAATATCCAGAATTTTACAGCGATAGTAACGCTTGTCTTCTTCGAAAACTGCCGCATAAATTCCACCAACAATGGCATTATTAGAAAGTTCTGACAAGTTTTGGGAATTCAACAAATCGTCCAATTTGCTAATATTCTCGTCTATTTCACTCGATGCAGGGTGAGCGTAGAAATGAGCCGCATCGATGACCTGGATCAAACCTAATCAAAATAAGTTCTTAAATTATTTAATACTTACATATATAACTTTGATATCCATACTAGTTGTATACAGATTGGGTAAAATGGAAGTTGTTTTCTTTTCAAAATTTTTAATATAATTAATACCGTAGTCCGTGGTATCCGCTATACCCAATTCCTTAGCTTTCAGCCAGGCCTCAGTCGTGCTAAAAAAAAATAATAATCGAATTACCGAATAAATCTATAACTTACTGCAGTGTTAATTTACTTCATAACCTGTATAGAATGCATCAGCTTCAATTGCCTTAATCTCACCGCTTTATAAACGTCAACGGATATAAATCCTGGCATTGTAATAAAGAATTGCTGGCCATCCACGGTCACGGATCGTGGATACTGCTGATTCAAAAACGACACAAATATTTTCCTGAAACAAATATATTAATATAAATCAAATTTTGTAAGTTCATGAACTCACGAGGAAGCCGTAAAAATAATTTTTATGTTTCTCGAGCAATCCTTCAGCAATTCTCTTATCCTTTCAGTATACAGCGGTCCCGGTTGATCGGCTTCCATATTATTAAAGTAAACGGTGTTCATGGGATTCAATCCGTCCAGAGATTTAACCGCTTCCCTTTCATCTATTTGCCCCATTTCGCTTGAACGTGTGAAATAATTTGGGTAAAAAGCTCCGCTAATCACCAACTAAAAATTTATAAAATAAAATATTTTCCAGTAACGATTTAAATGTATTGTATACCTTTAGCATTAACATAAGATCCACTTGCGAATGGATCACAGCCGTTGGACCAGCCGGAGGTCTTAATCCCATGTTATCCAACCTTTTAGTGATTTCATCTATCATCAATTTCCACTCTCTTAGAGCTTTCAGCGAGACGAAGTGCTGTCTGCACCACTGAACTTCAGATGATTTATGTAAGAAAGCTCCCATTCTTCTTTTCCTTTTCCAAACCTATACGAAATCAACTTTAAATCGTGCTTTAATTTAAGATTAAATCGATATACCTTGTAAAGATTCAGAAGTGCAATTAAATCACTGCACGAACCGTCGGCCCACAGTAAATGGTTTGAATACGATTTCAAACGTTCTTGGAAAGGCGTTGCAAATATAGTTGGTACAGTACAACCGGCAGCTAAAAAATATGTATGACTTATATATGTTACGAATCTTTAACTTTTCCTTACCGATTATTATGCAATCTTCGTAACAACAGTAAATCAAGCCCAAACAAATCATTTTCGATAATTTGATATCGATGGGTAGATTACGCATAATCGTGCCCAAGAATGTTAGATCTCCGTCGTCCTTAACGAATTCCCCGCGACATTTCATGAGGAGAGCTCCTGTTTCTTTCAGATTCAGCACGGTGCATTGTATGTTCTGTAAATCCGGTGGATCTATAGCTAAACCCAATATGGATTTAGGAGTTTCGTTGATATTCAAAGTTTTAGCGCATAGCACCACCTTGTCCAGAGGAGCCCGAAGCATCTCAGGGTAAATGTCCGTCGACATGTATTGCTAAAACTCAATTATTACCAATATTCTAAAAATAATAAGAGAAAACTCACCTCGAAGAACTTCCTTGGGACTAATCTATATACTCGGCCATCTCGTACACGACCCACACGTCCCGATCGTTGAATGCAGTTCACGTGAGAAGCCCATTCCAATTTCAGCGATTGATAATGAGTTCTTGGATCCACAACCATCGATTTGGTCAAACAGAAATCGATTACTAAATCGAAAACCAACGTTAAATTTAAATAGTTGTATGAAATCATTTGAATACCATAAACAACATCAGGAACTGTGATGGAACTCTCTGCAATGTTGGTGGTCAAAATAATTTTTCTGGTGTTATTATTCGTCTGAGTGAATACTCTAGACTGCTCGCAATTGGTTATCGACGAATGTAACGGCAGGATTAACCATTCAGTTTTCGGCTTATTCTCTGCGTTTTGTCTGTAAACAAATTGGGAGTAATCAACTTAAATATACAATTAGTAAAAACAAAGATATGTACTCGGCTCTTCGCAAGTGCATATAAGCTTCTTCAATCTCTATAATACCAGGGAGGAATACCAAGACATGCCCGATGTCGATGTTGCCTGTGTCGGCATTTTTCTTATCCAATTTGTCAAAAATTACAACCAACTCGACTAGGAGCTCGTACAATATTGGCTTTACGCAAGGCTCGTCGAATGTATATTCCGCCAACTGAAAATCCCAAATTTAAACTGTTTTCTACTTCCTAAACCAGATTGATTGATACTTACTGGCTTTAGCTGCGATAGTTGATCCGCGTAAAACATTGAAGTCTGGTGGACATTCGACTTAGTAATGAATAAAGTTGGAGCTGGAAGCACAGCGTCTAAAGTGTGTGTCTGGAAGTACTGTGCAAATTTAGACGTATCGAATGTAGCTGACATAAGGATGATCTGGAAAATATTATATGTATTTTAACTGTTTTCATAATATCATAGAATATTACTTTAACATTGGGTGAGTTTAAATACATGAATCTGCGAATCACCAAAAGCAGAAAGTCCATGTCTTGAGTTCGCTCATGGACTTCGTCAATGATTATGTGAGTGTAATCAATTAGATTCTGCTTGCACGAGATTTTATTGAGCAGCACTCCGGTTGTTACATATGTCAGAATGGTGTCCGCATTAGTTTCTTTCTCTAAACCGATCTGCAAAATAAAATGTAAATTATATAACAGTAAGAATAATATATAACGTTTATACCTGATAACCACAGACTGTTCCCAATTTCCATCCACGCTCGTGGCATACTCGCGCAGCAACGCTGACTGCTGCTATCCTTCTGGGTTGCGTTACGACAATGTTGCAGTGAGTGTTGTTTTCGCGACAATTATCCAGTATCATCTGAGGTACTTGTGTTGTCTTTCCACAGCCGGTAGGTCCATGAATGATCATAACCGGCGTTGCAGTAAGCATATTTAAAATCTAAAACAAACGCAGCAATTATTAAATGAATTCATTAATTATTAGATGGATCTCACATCAGTCTTATATTGTTCAATTGCCATCTTCTCTCTTCTAACATTGATGGAGAAGCAGTAATCTTTATAAACCTTGTTCACGATGTTATCCTTTAGCATTTGCAATTCTTCCAAATCCTGCTCAGGAATCAAGTCTAGCATGCTGTCAATGCAAGACAAACTTTCAGTCTAAAAATTTGATTAAACCAGTGTAGAAATTAAGAATTATTTGAAGCAACTTGTATTACCTTGACTCTGGAAGCGCTATTTGCGTACATGAGAGCTTCGTTCTGTTGATACGCCTTCGCGTAACTGGTCCCAAGTTTTGGTTCTTCGACTTCTTCATCGCCATCATCGTCAGAGCTGGATTCCACTAATTGGACACGACCTCGTACAACGCCGGTCGGCACCCGAATTGGTTTCTTCATCCGCTCAAATAACTTTTTATAATCCATCTTGGGAACTAGAAAATATTAACATTGCGTCGAATTATATTAATCAAAGCAATAGTTGTGTTATCAATGCAACATAATCTCAGTAGAAGCAAACCAATCTAATTGTTTACAGTAATCTAAAGAAAACAATAGCAATGATCCGCTCAAGGTCAAAATAAGCTTTCAATCAACATTACAATTCTCAAGAATACAACAATAAAAGCGATCAATAAACTGGTAAAGTTAGCTTAGGATGCAAAAAAAAAAACAAGCAAAATATATACAACAATGTTAAACTAATTATGAAGTTGATAATCATTTATAACAATCAATATCTTTTGTGGAAATCATTAACTATAATATTATAAACTAATTACCTGCCATGTTGACTAAAATTCAATCCTACAAAGTTTATTTTTCAGATTCACACGCACATGCTGCACCGCAAAACCGATTACAAAGCAGAACAATAGAAATGAAGATAGTGCAGCCAACTCAATAGTGATAAAACGTAAAGTAAACAACCGGAAAAACGATAGTCATAGGATTTTCGCAAATTAGTTTATAATTTTGATAAAATTGTACGAATCATCTAAATATAAAACATGCAATAATCAAACGGAAACGCTTTCAATACTTTAATTTTTTGTATTTACAGTTGGCAGTTATTATGGAAGTTTGAAATAGTTTCGGTTTCGTTGCTTTTAAAAAAAACATATTTATTTACAATTCTGCATTCCTAGATTGATGTTTTTTTATTAACAAACATGAACATGAAGACTCATCAATATACAGATAAATCTATGTTTTTCTCTTTGGCCCTATTTCAATCCCTTTTCAAACACATTTTTGTTGGTTTTTGAGGTTTGAACCAATCTTTCGTTTCGAATGTCTTGTACAGTGGTGGCCAAATTGATTTGATCTAGCCACACGGATATTGAAGTATGGAATATAATTTTCAAAAAATAATAATTTTTCAATAAGTTTTTATTAGTTAACATTATAAGATAATACTTAATATATATAAAAGTTGAACATGTACCATTGTTAATCAAGCAAATTGATATGGTCTTTCCATGAATTGTGATACTTGTATAGGGTTTCCAAGAAAGCAGGAGTAATGTTCAAAGGAAAGGTCGTGATCAATTCGTGGATCTTCGAGCTAAACAAAATAAATCGTTTAATAAATTCACTCAAATTGGCTTGGAAAAAAAAAGTAACTTACTTGACTATTTTGCGATTGATCGTGGGCATATTAATGTATACGTCAATTTCTGCTAAAGCTATTGAAACGTTCCTAGGTTGAAGTCCGTTCAGAATATCGATGGCAGAGCTGCTTACAGAACCAAACTTTCCGTTAGCGATGGCCAAACATATTTTGTAGTTAAGAAATTTCTCTGAAATCAGTGATATTAATACGCGTTTTCTGATTGTCTCCAAAAAAAAAAACATACCAGGATCTCGTTTCAATTTGATCGAATTCTTAATCTTCTTTGCCAGATTGGGCAATTTGTGATAAAGGCAAGCTCTCACTGCTTCACTGTTGCTCTCAATCATAGGATCCGTTTTTAGAAAGTTCATTACATCTTGTTCCGTTAATTCGCCGACCGTTTGACTCGTATACCAATCTCGAAACTCCTTCGTTTTCGGACACATAATAACCTGTTCAATGACAACTACAATTATACTAACTCGAAACAGATTATATGATTATATACTTACATCGTCTGGATGAAAGAAATCTGAAACAGAGAAACATTTAATTGCTTAGGAAACATTGATTTGATGACTATTTACTTTCGATGGTGCCGCATTTGTGCGCCACTTCTGAAGCGTACGTAAATGGCTTTATCATTCCGAACCTCTTCGCAAACGTCATGGAAAGTAGCGAGATGATGAACAACCTCTCGTTCGGTTGTGGAACAGCCATTATCGCCTTGTAATATCTCAAAGTTGTCTGGTAATCGTTCAACTCCTCGAATATGTTCAGGCAATTCCTGCCGCTCATCACCGTCTCCTGCAAAACCTTGACGCACTCGTCAAAAGACAGCCGCCTCTCGAGCAACCTTAACCGGTACAGGATCTTCAGATCTTCACCTGTACAAAAAAAATCATAATTTGAACTTCCAATTAAAAAAAAAAAACATATTTACGCAAATTCTGGTCGACGTTGACGTGCGCATCCAGGAACTTGTTGACTTCTTCCAGGTTCAAACGCAAACTGAACGAAAACAGAACAACTTTGAGCACAGCGTAATTGGATAAGTTTTCAGCGAAAAGCTGTTTGTTCAGATCGTCTATGGGCATGCTGGACAATTTCTTCAAATCCAAATTGGGTATACTGGGATGGCTGCTCTCCGGGAAAAGACCAACTTTCACCAGCAACTTTTTTCTAAAAACTGAGGTAACACTGACATTAATCTTGCATAATTGCAGAAATTAAGATTTACTTAGATAATCGTCGGTGTACTTTGTTTGCTGCGGCATCTGTTCCACTGTCGGCAATTTCAAGCTGTACAAAATATTCTTTTGTAGTTTGTTTAATTTCATCGTAAGCAATTTATTGATCATTCTCCTGAAAACATAATTCAATTATTATGATCTTGAATTTAATTGTAATTAAATAAATAAACATTACCTAGTAAACGTCGGCACGTTTAATTTGTTAATTAAATCGGGAACGCATCGGCAGGCTTTGTTAAGATTCACTTTAATCAATTCGTTAAACACGGATTCGGCGTGCTGCACGTCTCCGAACTTCAATTCACTTTCGAGGAAGACTTTGTATAGTTGAACTGCTAAAATGTTCATAAATTGGAGCTACATTAAATTAGGACAAAGGTTACCTACATTTTTTGTCGTTGCAAATCATCGACATTTGATGCTTCATATACTCGCGCGCTTCCGTATGAAGATTGTTCTTGTAGAAGGCGTGAATCAGGTCACGAGTAATTCCTATTGGCGGATTGGGTGATTTTAAAGCAAGCAACGAAGCTGCCGCATTGTTCAGGTGATCCCTCAGAGAAACTGCAGAACCGGAATCCGGCAAATTATGCAGAGCGGCAAGAATATTACTAACAGACTATTCAAAAAAAAAAATATATTAGCTAAGTGTATATTTCAATAAAAGTGAAAGAAATACAAACACAACATACCATGTAAATTGGAGTTCCGATCTTCGCATTAACAGAAGATACTGTATCTGAGTTACTCGAAGTGTTAGTTGACTACAATTGTATTTTGAGTTAAGACATCAATCACATAACTACAAATACTTACGCTGCTCGATTGTTCAAGTGTTTCTTCTTTCGCCATTTGGTCCATCTAAAGATATAAAACAAATATAAATATAATGAAGACGTTGCTTCGATTGGGTGAATTACCTTTTTCGATGATACTCCGGCAGTTTCCGCTATTTGTTTTATCTTAAAATATATACGAAAAAAAGTTAGTAGAAATAAACGATTTCATCGAGATGAATTGTATTGTTACTTTTCCTGTATCGACGAATGCGATCGGTCTATTCTCTCCGTCAATAATTACATTAGAATCGATACGTTTATTTGGCTCTTGGGCTTTCTCTGCAATAAATTAATTATGTAATATAAGTTTTCCAACATCAATTGACTCCTTGGAATACTTAGATAAATAATGCTACCAAATATCAGTGCACTACTTTTCAATATTCACAGAAAATGACAACGGGGGAAAAAGCACGTTCAATAAACATATTCAATTAATAGAACAACACATAACTTTATATTATTATATTAAATGTTTTCATTTTCATCGAGATTTTCCATATGTTGATCATCTGGAATCTTAGCGTATGTAAAGAAAAAACAACATAAACTTCCGCCAGACAAAACGCGTCAAGTTGCAGCAATTAAAAAAACACTAATTTCGTTTGAACATTACGAACACAATTATAAACATATAATATAAAAAGAAAGAAACACATTTCAATGTTATATGATCTGAATTGTATCTGTTTGTTCGAGAAACTGGGGTTCACGATCATACAATAAATAAAATTTTGTTTCTGAAACTAATTATGCACCAGTTTTCAAATTAAAGGAACTAATTAAACAAATATTTACATGACAAATATAATATTTCAAAATAACAAATCATAATAAAAATAGAAAAAAAAATAAATACAAAATCAGACTAAAATTTGATTTCAATTAGTTTACTTCTAACTTGATGGAGAGTAAATTTAATCTACAATTATTATCATTGGAAATAATAAAATTAAAATATTTTTAAAAGTTTAACATAACAAATCTTCGCGTATTATACATATACATGTTATTAAATTCTAAATAAATGTAATGAAACTTTGTACAAAATGCAATGATTTGGTTTTGAAAAATAAACAACTTTAGTTGCTACAAAGCTAACAATCCCAATACATTAATACATACCTGAAGATATATTTGGAGGCGGGGGAGGTACTGTCTTCTTGAAGATTTTTTTCTAAAGAAGAAAAAAAAAAGAAATGAGGAATATTTTTAGTGCTCAATAATATAATACTACCTGAGGTATTACAATATTCGTCAGCATTTTAAGTTCGTTTACTTGATTAAATTGAACTTCATCTTCTTCATAAGATTCGAAGGGCCTTTAAAAAAGAAATATTAAGATTTTCTTAAAAAGATTACTTAAGTAAATGTTGTTTACATGAAGGCACGACTGGGCAACTTGTCTCCTTTGAACAAATATATGAATAGATTTAGACTCTCCTTAAAATCGAATTTGCAGTCTTGTAGTAATCTGAAATTGAAGAAGATGATGATAAAGATGGCACGTTTATTTTTAACGTAAATATTGTACTTTCTAGCCCATTCCACCCTTAAATTGGTGATCTGTGAAACGCCATCAACCATTTCGTCCTTTTCTTTGTCGGTCTGAGGAAGTGGTAACTTAACGTAAAATGGTTTCGGCACTTTGCAAAACTTGAACGCTCGTTGATGTTGCGAAGAAGTCGCGTTCGAAATGTGCAACATCTCGTTGACTATGCTGTACTCGTTCGTTCCCACTTTGATAAGAACGAAGGTCCTTGTGAATCCGTACAGTTTTTCCTCTTCCAGCAAATGCTCACTGGATTCACGAAACATTCCAGTTACAGTGAACACTACACTACTTAACTGAAAAGAAAAACGTAAGTATCATAAATTATACCATGAATAAAATTGAAAACTTACAGAGTAGAACGTCATGTCCACTGTGAATGAGAATTGGTCGTGCTTTGAACGCGGCAGACGTTTGAGAACGTTGACAATATTGAGTGGTCCTGAGAACATGCACTCGCCTGATCTCGAGTAATCCGAAATACTCTGGATATTTCTGGATACCTTCTTATAATCGAAAACACTTGAAAAATTATTAGTTTTGAAGACTGAACCTACTTTACCAAACCTACTTTAAATTCGATGATGTACTATGGCCCAGTAAATGTATTGCAGTCATTGAGAATAGTGCGCTGTTATGATACACAGATTCCAAGACATTCCTATGTTCCGAATCGTAAAGAGTAATGTAATGCTCTAGAAATTGGTCCACCAAAGCTTGTCCTTTCCTGTTGCAAAGGAAAGTCCGTCGAAGCGATGGCATTCCTTGCGGTGGAAACTTGAAACCATCCTGTAAAAAAAAACGTATAAACATTTTCTTAATTTTCTGCATTTTTCAACGCTTACTAATTTCAATAGTTTTGGACAATGCTCTCTCACTGAAGCAATATAATCATACTCTGATATATTTTCGCAGATTGGATTCTCGTCCAGCCACAATTCTTGAATGGAAAATTTCCTGAGAATCATCAGTTCATGAAATGATTTAATCTAAAATTTAAACAAGTGATAATTGTTTTTTTTTTCTAATTAAGCAACTCACGTTATTCCTTCTTAAATCTAAGGAAACTATCTTTTTCGGCACCGTCGTAGCTAGAGCTTCTAGCGGTTTCAATAGTTCAATTTCATTCTTAGATAAACGTAGGTTTTCAAATGGAAGACCTTTGCTCAAATGAAGCACAAAGTACATTAGTTTTGGTTGAGAAAGTGTACAAAATTCTATCAAATCTGAAATTACATGATTCAATCAATATTTTTGTTTTAAAGTACCAAATGACAACTTACGAGGATCCTGAGAAAACGAGTCAAGATTCAATGTCTTTGATGGTAAATGTGTACGCTTGTTCAATATTTTTGTAATAGTTGCTTGAATGTCGATTTTCAAGTCACCGGCATGTGCAAATTTGAGCAAAATGGATATTTTAAACTGAAAGATTCAAATGTGAAATTTGAGTTAGATGACACGTTTAATGATTGAACTTACTGGTTTTATCTCTTTCGGATTAGGATTCGGGACAATCAAATTTAATTTGCAAAGCTCCATAATGGCTGCACCGCAATTCTTAAGCAAAAAACAAACGTTTTCATCTTCGATAGTATAGTGAACTGGGATAAAATCCAATGGATGCACGGTTTTCATTAATGTCTTTAACACAAAATTCCTTTTACAGTTAAGAGCATTTTGGACCTAAAAAGTGTGCGATATTAATATTTAATTAGAAGAAAAAAATAAATAAATAAAAAAACTCACATATATTTTATGCCAATATGTTCCATCGTATATTGACCTGTATTCAGAGTGTACTATACTTGTTTGCACATTGTTCTCATTGATGAGAACAGTTTCTTTAGATTTATCAGTCGGTGCAGACATCTCTTAGTTTATTTAAATGAACATAACACAAAGAATGAAAAACACTTGTTAAATCATAGGTTATATTATGATACAAATATGTGTGTTTTAGGTTCTAGCACATTAATTTTTAGTATTATTATACACAAATGTATATTAAACTATGTAATATGTATTACGAAAACTAATTTTACACTATTCCCAAATTACATATACTCAAGCATAAACCACAGCACACTATAAAATAAAATACAATATAAACACCTAAGTTAGTATTACTTATATAGAATATAGATGGCGGTGAGGCCTATTTGAATTTTATTATATAAAGAAAATGAAATATGCAACCAAGCTCTCACCTTGCATGTGAGAAAGCCTCGTTTATTATTAAATAAATTTGCTAACAATCGTTCGTTTCATCAAAGATTTGTGAGAGAATAATCAATAACAAATATTATTATTATTAAAATAATTTTTTTTTTATAAAATATATTAAAAAATAAATTAAGTTACATTTTAATCATAATTCTATTTATCAATTCGTATCCAGCCTTAATAAGGAATTGGAAATTTTTGTTATTCTTCAAGTTCACTAAACTAGGATCATCTATCAACATATCAAGCGGCGGCAGTAAGTTCTGTGGATCTGAACCTAAGACGAGTGCCAGATCCGCCGTTTTGAACATCAATTTGTGCTGCAGAATCTCCATCGGGCAATCCAAATCAGTTTCGTCCCAGGAATCCCTTAGAATAGCGCCGCACCAAACCTTCAACGCCAGATCGTTCCTCAATTCAGGATCCTCTATATAAGCCAAAAGATCTAAAGCTTTCTTAAACTCCAGCTCCGCGGCATCCCTGTACTCTTGACAAGTGTACAAATTAATCATTTCTTTAGGCGATATCACTCGTGGTCTGATCGTGTCGTAACCGAATTGCTGGAGCACGTAATCGGGCAATTCTTCTTGATAATTAATCAATTCCAGATTTTCGTTGATTGCAATTAAAGTTTCATCATGTTTCCGTCCAGACGCTAGTTTAGCTAATTTAGCCATGCTGAGCATCGTCTTCTGACGAGTCAAAGATTCGTTCTCCACAACGGCTAGATTAACCAGAGTATCAGCAGCATCATCGAACTTCCTGTCAAAAGCATTTTGTATCCAAGACAGCGATGGATGCTGGTTGAGGAACTTCTTCAGCTGCTGCGAATTTCTGTTGGTCAATTCTTTTTTCTTGCACATATCGATCAGCTTGCCCTGCTTATTCTCTTGCAAGTACCAAGAGTACACAAACTCGGAGAAACCGTCCTCTCCGAATCGATCCATATATTCATCCAATCGGCTTTGATTGTCCGTCTTATCGCATATCAACACTAAGCTTTCAAAGTCCAAATACTTTTCAGCCAATAACGCCGCTCCTTCCCACTGATTATCTTGAACTAACAACATATGTTAATTTGAGATTTTTTTTGATCAAACATATTTCTTACCTAACGGATCTATCAATTTCTTCCTATCAGTTTGGTATTGCTTAATTACAATATTTTCTCTGCTTGTCCCTTTCAGACTTTCAATATGACTTTTCCTTCCATCCAAAATGTAATCGATCAAGGACACAAGTTGATCGTATAGTGTGTTCCTCAAGTTGTAATCCGTCGTAACTTTAACGCCGTAATTTAATGTTACATTTTGCTAAATATCAAATAAGTTAAGTTTAATGAAATTTAGATTAATTGTGTTGATTTCAAATACCTGAAGATTTAAAGTATCCATAAGACCTTCAGAGCCGGTAGCACAAGTCCAAGGAAGATAATCCAGATTCTGATTAGAAACGAAATCTTCCGTACTGAAATGATCGGCGTGACTTTGACGGTATTGCGTAACTTCTTTAAAGAAATTCTATAGAAATATAATTAATATTATGCAATCATTACGAATTTAATAATTTCTTACTAGTAGTACGCTGTTGGCTTCGTTTAATAATTTGGCGACTTCTATAGGATTCATGTCGGAGTGAGCGGCTTCGTCGCATATGTTGGTCACCTCTTGAGCAACCTTGTAGATGTTTGTTACTTGGCGATAGAAAACATCTTGACTGGTCAAGCCGCTATCCGAATTGATGGGTATTGTTCTTGCGACATTTTCGATGGCCTTCTTTAGAATTCCTTCGTAAGGAATTGTTTTCATTGCGACAGCCGCTACAATCTTTTCTGAATGTTCTCCTAGGACATAGGCTGTAGCCATAGCGCCATGCCTAATCGTAACTGAAGACATCTTCTTCCACAAACCAGATTCTTTTAAGAATTTTATGAACAGTATATGCGCTTTTTGCTTATCCTCGAGTTGTTGTAACACTTGCATCGCGTATGAACTTCCCAATCCAACTTGATTCTCGCCCAACCATCGCGGATCGTTCGCTGGGATATCATTAAGCAAATCTTGGCTAACTTCGACAATTACCTTATCTAATAGCGAGTCTTGTCCTGATATAGCTCCAGAGAATAGCTTGTTGATTATGTCTTGAGATGCAGACTGCCAACCAAATTGCATTTTTTTTTATTTAAATTATTTTTTATAAAATAAATTAGCAGAACTTACGTGTTGCCCTTTAATGTAGAAAATGAAGGCGGCGGTGAATTGTCCATTGGTATCTTTGTAAGCCGCATACATTTCCTCCGGGTTGAAATTGTAGATGGTCAAGTTTTCCATACCACCATCGCTAAAAGAGGTGTCCACCGGAGTGCTAGGACTCATAACGCTCATACTCATATCGTTGGTATTTTCATTATTGACGATAGCTACTAATCCGTGATTTCTACTAAAGAAGACCGGAGTATTGACGCAAATGGATCCACCTATTAGCAAGAAGTATTAAGAAATTATTTCTATTAAAAAAATTTAAATATGATTACCCAATAGAAAGTCCATAGGTGTGTTGAATTCTAAATTGTCTGGTTCTTCTTGCGGCTTAAATACTGTCACCGACCTGTGGTTGTAAACATACTGGATGCCGGACGAGATTAGGAAGCGATAGCCCAAACTATCAGCAGGATTATCATCCCTGTATAATCCGTTCATTTTCAGAATTTGGAAGTTGCCGAAGTGTGTTGGCGGCTGCGACAATGAACCATCGATGGCGATGAGGGCATAGTGGACTTGAGGAGAGACGTGCAAATTAACGGCCGCTGCTAGCAGCACGATGTATTCTCCTTCGGCCTGCAAATCCAGGACCCAAGTATCTACATCGGTGTTGTCTCCGCCGCAATTCTCCCATAACGAACTGACGAAACTATCTTTAACTTGTCGGGACAAATCAGTTACGTAGACGAGATGTTCGGCGTCTCCAGATCCAACTTGCCATTTTTGCAGCGAGTGTCCTGCAAGGACGTAAATGCAGTTCCGTTCGTTCAAAACACGGACTAATCTCTAAAAAAAAAATGAAAATTATTACAATTACAATATTAAAGAGTTTTAATTTCGAACAAACCGTTTCACTAGATTGTTCTGTATTATTCGGACCGAAGATCAATGAAGACATCTTTTTACTTAATCCACCCAACCAACCGGAAGGCATCTTCAGTACATGACAATTTAACACATAACGCCCAGAGGTGTAGTGCGGTTGGACCAAAACTACAGTGCACGTTGTTGTTGCTAAAATAGATCCCAAACCATCAGCTCCAGTTAAACTATCACATTCCTGCCCTTGCAAATCTACAGTTTGCTCAATCGAGACACTTTCCTGTGCAATAGTTGGCCAAAACCTTATGACACCTAACAAAACAATTATTTTAAAAAAACACTAAAATTTTAATTGTTATTAATTACCTTCTGGTGAAACAGCAATGCAAGCAGGCATATTGTTTCCACTGTTCTGAAATACCGACACCAATTCTGCCCTATGCACCAAATCACTTTGCGGCAACTGCAGTTCGTAGCATTGGTTGGTGAGAGCGCCTCGCCTCGGGGTGCCTTGCAACATTTGGTTCTGTCTGTAATGCCATATGAGCAGACGACGTCCGCACACCAACCAGGCATAGCCACAATCTGCAGAGATCTTAGCGGACACAACTGTGTTACGGTCAGCAAAAGTCAAAGCCTCTGTGACCAATACTGGCAATGGTTGTCCAAATCTCTCGACACAATTCGATTGGGATTTGAGGACAACCTGTACTGATTGCGTGGATCGGCCAGACAAACTGAACCGGCTGAAAAACGTATACGAATTTTTGCTTTCTTATTAGTTCGCGCTTTGATTAGGTTAGATTTTTACCTGGATTTTCGAAACGGTGTGGCTGCAGAACGCTTCGCCGGGGTTTGGCGAGAGCGCGGCGAAAACGGGCTCCGATTACCCAGAACCGAACTGTTGAAACTCCTATCCATTGATATTTATTAATTGCTGCACTTCAACGAAATCACATAAACACAACCAACTGTTTTAAGGTTAAAAATTCAAAAACTTCTCTATGTCTGTAAAAAAAAATTCTCAGCGCCAAACGGTTCAAACTTCTTCGTTTAATAAGGTTTATGTAGATGGCGCTAATTAATTATTGTAATTAGTGATTAACATAGATAGGGACGTAAGTAGGGATTAGAAATAAGACTTAACTCTGAAACTATAATCTAATAATTATGTTAGTTGATTATTTAAGCATTTAAAGTGAGTTGAATGTTGTTTATATAAGAAATTATTGTTTAATGGATTTTTATCCAATTTTTGTGATTACAGTCAACCCTCCGTACCGCGTTATATGGAAACCGCGCTATAAGAAACTCGGAATTAGTACAAATCACATCATTCGTACCGCGTTATATGGAGACTAATAAATACAAAAGACAAGATAAATTATAAATTATTTAAAGATTGATACAAAAAAATGAAACAAGAACTAAACTAAAAGATTGTTTTTCAACAAAAACAATGAAGACTTTTGTAAAATTATGTAATCTTTCAACACTCATCCTCGCTGTCAGATATGAGTCGACTAACTCGTCTTCTTTTAATGGGCAAAATGTCTTCATCACTTAGTTCATCTTCACATTGGTTTTCGATTGTAGCTTGTTTTTCCAACTCCACTAAAACCTCTCTAAAGGGAGCTAAGCAATTTCTTAACTCTCTTTTAAACTTTGCGCTGCGCACCGTTGAACGATCAGTTTGAATGAAATGAAGTTCTAATTCTTTACCCAAATTTAGCCCTTTTTTCACATCTTGTAAATCGAGATTTGGCACAAATTCGTTTTCCTTATTTTCGTTTAACCAATGCATTTGAGGTGGATGCATCAATTAATTCCATCAGTTCTTCCTCATCTAAAGTTTCTTCCCCGAACACTAGTTCTCTTACATCCTGATGGTTTACTGCAAATTCTTCATCGCTTAAACGAGAAGCAAATTTTACTATTTCTGTAACTGGGAGTGAAATTGTAGAATCATCTTGTATTGCTTGAACCATTTGAGGTAATAGAGGTTTTCAACACGAATTAAGCGTTGATGGGATGCTGTTGAACCGCGCTGTAAGAGTACCGCGTTATAGGAGTGTTGACTGTATATGGAACTATGAGCAGTATTTTATAAGAATTATAAAAGTAACTTTAAGTTTGAGCGGAGTTCTGGACAAGAAGATGATAGAGACAAGGGTATAACTTAGATCATTTATATTTAATAAACTAGTAACTAAGTTGGCGAGAGTTTCAAGGCTGAATTTATAAAGGTGCGCATGGAAAATTAATTACAGAAAACTATCTTAATGAAACATTGAATTGAAATTTTGCAAATGAAATATTAGCTGTGTTGGGATGGAAGATAAACATGGAAATAAGCGTAAAGGAGTTCTGTTTTCTCGGGTATCCTCGCTGGAAAATAGATGTGTTTGGACTGATGTTGATATTGGATGTTTATACAGCGCTGCAGATATCCTCGTCGCATAGACGTTAATTGCGGTCCGAATTCAATTAACATTTGCCAGCAACTCTCAACTCTTTTTTTTTCATCAAACTTTAATTAAAGCGCAACCGCTTTCGCATTATACCTTGATGAATTCCGTGAAACTGTAATGAAATCCGCGATTTCAGTTGTTTTTCAACGATTCAATGTTTAATCTTCACACAAAGATCTTTTCAATAAATTTACTAAACGTATTCAAAATTTATAATAAAAGAATTTATTGAATTGAACTTTCAATTATGGAATGTTTGATCATTAACTGTAGTACGTAAAACAGAAAATAGGTTATCGGATTTCAATTAGCGTGCAATGGAAACTGAAGTAAATTATTGAGCTGAGTATAAATTTATGGCATCGAAAACTAAATAGTTTTCAATCAAATTAAATAAGTTAAGTTATATTAGGATTACTTACGCAGTGGAACCTCGCTTAACGAGCAAAATAAATTGTTAGAAAAATGACTCGCAAAATGGAACATTAGCTTATATGGGTGAAAATTGTTTCAGTATACGAGTAAAAATCCGGAAAATTTGGAAATTTTACTGTTACATTTTGATAAAAACTTTCTTTAATTTACAATATGAATACGATTTCAATTATTGCTTTATCTGAATCGATTAATATTATGAAACTAATATAAAATGAACGTCCCTTAGTTAATTACGTAAGTCTTCTATTCAAGCAAGACACTTTTGAACTTGATGTATTTCATGAATTATTGATATGCAATTTAGAACTTGCGACACTCTTCGAGCGCGAAGATGCATGAGATTCCGCGATTCTCGGATTCTCATGTATTTATGGTGATTATCTTGAATTATTGTAATGCAATTCGAGTGTATAATTTAATATTCCTTCGTGCCATTCTCGACTCCACAGCAAATATACGTATTAATTATGATAATTTCTAGTTAGCACATCAAATTCGATTTGGTATTCAATGCTCGGATTTGCTCGGTACAAAACGAGGAAAGCTTTAACGTCACAAATGTTCGCTGCAAATCGATCGTCGCACGTTGTTGTTATTGTCACGTTCGATCCGACACGTGCGATTTAATAGCAGGCTTGATATGTGCTTGAATATGTGCAAATAATGAGAAAGCTCAATCACGATACGCGTCTTTTTCATTGCGAATCCATTTGTTTGCACTTTCGTTGTTCTCGAAAATCATAACTAGTATACTACTTATCGTTATTTCTGTTATTGTTGTATTTGTTAATTATCTATGTTTGTGTTGATTTGATAATAAGACTGGGACTTTAAGGCCGTATTTATTATTAAGCTTAAACTGCGAAGACGTGTAGCTTCGGGCCATCTTTTGCAAAGCTTTTCTATCGAGTTTCTTATACGTCGGTTGTGGTATCTAGTAGATACGCTCTTCCAACGTCCGACGGTCGATCATCTAAGTATTTCATCCACACAAAGCCTATTGTGTTGATGCTTTCAATGAGTATTCTCTTTATTTTTTTATTCTAGTTAATTAACTATATATACGTATTGTATAATTCTTAGGTCTTAGACTTCATCTTGTTTATTATATATGCTACTCAATCTTGAATTATCTTCAATGAATATAAATGGTCTTTAATAAAGCAAGTAGTCCAGCAAGTATAGATACATTCTTGTGCTCTTATCCATATTGCTGTAATACGCGTTCAAAGTTGAAGAATTGAAATTACAACGTTCGAAAAAGCAGTCTCCTCACATTTCATTGATTTACTCGAAAACTATACTAGATAGAATGAATCCAGTATATGCATATGAAAGCTGAATGTTTGGGGAATCCAACAAGTATAGACACATTTCTGGTCTCTTATCCATATTGCTGTAATACGCGTTCAAATTTGAAAAATTGAAATTACAACGTTCGAAAAAGCTGTGTCTTCACATTTCATTGATTTACTCGAAAACTGTAATAGATAGAATGAATCCAATATATGCATATCAAAGCTGAATGTTTGGGGAATCCAGAAAGTATAGATACATTCCTGTGCTCTTATCCATATTGCTATAATACGCGTTCAAAGTTGAAGAATTGAAATTACAACGTTCGAAAAAGCAGTGTCTTCACATTTCATTGATTTACTCGAAAACTATACTAGATAGAATGAATCCAATATATGCATATGAAAGCTGAATGTTTGGGGAATCCAGAAAGTATAGACACATTTCTGTGCTCTTATCCATATGGCTGTAATTCGTGTTCAAAGTTTAAAAAATGCTCGAAAAAGCAGTGTTTTTACATTTCATTGATTTTCTCGAAACCTATAATACATATAAAGAATCCAAAAGATGGATATTAAAGCTGAATGTTTGGGAAATGTAACATGTATTCATATATTACTGTGGATTTATCCGTTTGGCTGTAATTCGCATTCAAAGTTTAAAAAATGCTAGAAAAAGCAGTGTTTTCACATTTCATTGATTATCTCGAAAACTATAATACATATAAAGAATCCAAAAGATGGATATTAAAGCTGAATGTTTGGGAAATGTAACATGTATTCATATATTACTGTGGATTTATCCGTTTGGCTGTAATTCGCGTTCAAAGTTTAAAAAATGCTCGAAAAAGCAGTGTTTTCACATTTCATTGATTATCTCGAAAACTATAAAACATAGAAAGAAACCAAAAGATGGATATTAAAGCTGAATGTTTGGGGAATCCAGCAAGTATAGATACATTCCTGTGCTCTTATCCATATTGATATAATACGCGTTCAAAGTTGAAGAATTGATATTACAACGTTCGAAAAAGCAGTGTCTTCACATTTAATTGATTTACTCGAAAACTATAATAGATAGAATAAACACAGTATATGCATATGAAAGCTGAATGTTTGGGGAATCCAGAAAGTATAGATACATTTTTGTGCTCTTACCCATATTGCTGTAATACGCGTTCAAAGTTGCAAAACTGAAAAAATAACTTTCGAAAAAGCAGTCTCCTCACATTTCATTGATTTACTCGAAAACTATAATAGATAGAATGAATACAATTTATACGTATGAAAGCTGAATGTTTGGGGTATCCAGCAAGTATAGATATATTTCTGTGCTCTTATCCATATTGCTGTAATACGCGTTCAAAGTTAAAAAAATTGAAATTACAACGTTCGAAAAAGCAGTGTCTTCACATTTCATTGATTTACTCGAAAACTATAATAGATACAATGAATCCAATATATGTATATGAAAGCTGAATATTTGAGGAATCCAGCAAGTATTGATAC